TTTCAGCTCTTTCAGTTATCAATGTTCAACTCTTCAAGGACATTCATGCTTCTATTCAGAGGTTTTCAAAACTTCATACATTTGAAATATTTAGCTGTATTTTGAAAATCTTGCCCCATTCAAATGAATGGGAAAATTCTACTTCAGTTTGCTTTCAGCTAGCAAAACCATTCAGGTGTCAAAATGTTCCGCATTTTCAGGGTGATCTTTCAGCACTGAGCATCCATACGATTTTTCTTCAGAAAATGCATTTTTCTAGTTATTATTATTATTATTCTGGTTTCTTCCATCCATTTTTTTCTGTGTCTGCATTTTGGATCCTCCCCTAGCCCAAACCTTGACAGGGTGTTTTGTGTAAAATATTATTAATAAAGGTTTAAAAATAGTTATCTAAATATAGTACACTTCAACTCATACCCATCTTTTTTGGTGTGTCAACGGTAGCACAAGCTACAATATATAGTAACATCAAACCTAAACAAACAACCTTCCTTTTTGCTATGTGTGCATCATCATAAGTAGTCACTCTCTCTCACATCTGACACACTGGCAGGCTAAGGAGCTAATGGTAGCTAACCTATCCTTCCTTCTTCTGTTTTAGAGGGGCATTAGTTGAGTGATGTATTGTGAGAGGCATAAGTTGGGTGACGTAATTTCCTGCCAATGAGACTCTTGATGATTGTTTAAAATAAGTAAATAGAAATCCACTTTCAGCTTTTCCTGTTTAGGGGTCACCACAGCGAATCATCACACTGACGACTTGCATGTTGACATTTGGCACGTGTTTTACGCCGGATGCCCTTCCTGACGCAACCCTGATTCGAACCCAGGCCGCAGCAGCTGCTGACCACTAGCCTACCAGGGACAGTGTTTAAAATAAGTAAATAAAAAGCCTAATGTCCCCTTTGAATCAAAAGTATTTTACTTATTGTTACTTCTTTTGTTAAGTTTCAAAGTGCAGTATGACAGATGTAGAGAATGGCTACCGCAAACTCTATTACACACAAATTATTCAAAGCACAATGTCTTTAAAAATGTTCAGAGGTTATCTTTAAATTATTAACTAATGAATTTTGGACTGGTTTAACTTCTGCATTATGGCAAAATTGGGTGTCTGACCCCTTCCTTGATAGTTTTTCTACAGTCCCTCCGAATGCATCAACTTGTAAATAATTAATAAACCTGTGTGTTTTGTGCAAAGATTATCAGAGTAACTTTTATTTTTACCATTTCAATTTTGCATTTTGTCTCCTCATGTACAGTGGGTACGGAAAGTATTCAGACCCCCTTAAATTTTTCACTCTTTGTTATATTGCAGCCATATGCTAAAATCGTTTAAGTTCATTTTTTTTCCTCATTAATGTACACACAGCACCCCATATTGACAGAAAAACACAGAATGTTTGACATTTTTGCAGATTTATTAAAAAAGAAAAACTGAAATATCACATGGTCATAAGTATTCAGACCCTTTGCTCAGTATTTAGTAGAAGCACCCTTTTGAGCTAATACAGCCATGAGTCTTTTTGGGAATGATGCAACAAGTTTTTCACACCTGCATTTGGGGATCCTCTGCCATTCCTCCTTGCAGATCCTCTCCAGTGCTGTCAGGTTGGATGGTAAACGTTGGTCGTCATGTTTAACATGTCATTTTGCTTCAGTGGCATTTTGGTCTGTTTCACCCAGATAGATGAGTCGGTGTGAAAATGTGGGAAAGATGGTCAAAAATGTGATTTAATGTGCTTCTCTTAAAAGCAGTTGTAGGTTTGGTGGTTGAATAAAAATGGGAAGGAGAAAGCTGTGTGACCACACAAAGCAGTTTTGAGTTTTGAGATTCAGTAAATTTGCCACTTCCCCTTTTTTTAACTGTCTTCTTTTTTATGTGGTGTCAAATCTGTGAAAAAGAAAACATTTGTTTGTACATGACCCGGTTGTACTTTTCCTCAGATGCCTGGTAATATCTAACATCTTCAGAATGAATCTAAATGGTAAATCATAATAATGTGGTTTATGATGACATATGAGTGCACTTTTCAAAGTACTCTACATCAGGATATTTCATTCTGACTGACAAGATGTACTTAACATGTACTTACCAAACAAACAAAAACACTATCTTTATAATAATGACCCTCATCAGTCAAATTAAATATTCTTCATATTTTATATTAGAAAACCAGACAGGAAAATGTTGTTTTTACTGCGCCAACCAAACCAGTGCTTTCAGATGAAGACTTTTAAAGTGTAGGTGAAAACTAAAAATCGACAGTATGAATCTTTCATCACAGGAACTCACAGGAATTGCACATTAAATAGTTTATTATTGAAAGAAAAGTGGATGAATAAATCAATTATAAAACAAACACAAGTGAATAATCAAACACAGCTGGACTCAAATGAAGGTGTAGAACCATCTCAGGGATGATCAGAAGAAATGGACAGCACCTAAGTCAAATATATGAGTGTCACAGCAAAGGGTCTGAATACTTATGACCATGTGATATTTCAGTTTTTCTTTTTTAATAAATCTGCAAAAATGTCACAAATTTTGTGTTTTTCTGTCAATATGGGGTGCTGTGTGTACATTAATGAGAAAAAAATGAACTTAAATGATTTTAGCATATGGCTGCAATATAACAAAGAGTGAAAAATTTAAGGGGGTTTGAATACTTTCCGTACCCACTGTACATCCAATACACATTTATAAAATCAAATTAAATTTATTCATTAATTATGGCAGCATTCTAAATTTGCACAATTTTTATTATTGTTTATTAAAAATTCAGATGAAACCATGAAGAGACAGGAAAGACACAAATAGTTGATCTCTGATGAATGGTCATGTATTTCCTAAATGCTAATAGTGCTGATCAATACCGTATTTCATTCATCATATGAATTCAACTGTCTTGCTCACTAGTGCCTAATGAATAAAGTTGAGGACATACAAAATGATTCATACTGAGATCTCCAAAATGAGATTTGAAGGTCATAGAATCAAAGCATGCTAAAAATATATACCTTTTTATTTCTTACAAGCTAAATTACACTTCAGTGCCTTTCCTTTTATGTATATTTTCTGTGATTTAATATACCCTGTGCAGTAGTCTTAAACTGTAAATTGCACTGGGAAGAAAACTGTTATATTTGTGAAGCAGTTACATTCATGGTTAAAAAATAATCCCATCTTCAAATAAATCATACATTGATTATCATGCTACAATTTGTATACGTCACAATGAGAGTTAGAGAGACATGGAATTTTCCATAAGAGTAAAACGATATTCACTGCTTTTGAAAACATTCTATGTCCAAACAATGTTTACAAATACTGGATTAATTTTGATATCATCTAAACTTCATTATCATGATGTTATTATCAACATTAAATTGAATGTTTGATGGCATACAGTAGCAATGGAATATGTATGCATGCATTATGCTCTGTTAGGAAGTGCATAGCTTGCATGGAGATGTAAGCAATTTACTTTAAATTTGATTATTATTTTTTTTGTTCCTTTTTTTTTGTTCACAAAATCAAACTCAACCACTTACAGAGAAGGTCAGGATGTCTCTGGAGGTCAGTAAATAGTAACACAGCCCACAAGAAACCCTTTGTAGTTTCCACTGATGATTAGATTTAGTTAATGACTAATTGTATAACCTACAGGATGTCATTTAAGACTCAGAGAGATGGCAGCCATAAAAAGAGAAAGAGACAGATGGACAAAGAGTAAAGCAGGAAGGCTTTCTAGAAATCCTGATAAAAATAAGCCTCTTCAACAGAAAGAGGAGGGAGCAGACTCACCCCTGCTGGTGGTCCTGGTAGGCTGAATAAATCCTCCTGGAGTTCTTCCTGATACTCTTGTGTCTCTTGGTTGCAGACAGAGACCTGCTGCTGCTGACCAAAGGCTCAGACACTGAACTCATGTTGTCTCTGCTCAGAGCATGTGAGCAAAACTGTGGTCATGAAATCGGTGTGTGCAGATCAGTGTGTGAGCAGACAGTGCCTGTCTGTGGTGGAGCAACCTGCTGCTCTAAGCCCCCACTGTAGCATCATCCAGTACAGACTGAATCACATTCACTCATCAGGCCAATCACAGCCACACTGACTGCTTAAAGGGGCAGCTTTAAACACAAAAGTCACCTTCTGTTCTCTCATCAGTTTTTGACTTTAAAAGATTATTTTGCAAAATAGACATGTTATTTATTACATAAAAATAAATTAATACAATATGATTCTTAGAAAAACAAAATCTGGTACTGTATTATTCCAATGTTAAAATAAAAGCCTAAAATGGTTAGTGTATGTTTTATTTAAGGTGATCAAAAATGTCCTAGGGTTAGGGTTATCATTGAAATGTTGAGAATTTAATGATTTACATAAGTTGTGTAAACCTGACTACCCACAGCTGATTTCAGTCTTGATCACAGACATAGCCAGCTGTTGAAGATCATTCAGTTACATGGACACAAACAGTGGATCAGTGTGGATACAAAACAACACAGAGGAGCAGAGTGAAAAGAGAAAAATCAAGTCAAATCAAATTTTATCTGTATAGTGCCAAATCACAACAAAAGTCATCTCAGGACACTTTACAAAGTAAGGTCTAGACCTTACTGTTATCACTATTATTACAGAAGGAAAACCCAACAAATCTCCCCTGAGCAAGCACTTGGTGACAGTGGGGAGGAAAAACTCCCTTTAAAGGAAGAAACCTCCGGCTCTTGGTGGGCGGCCTTCTCCCTCGACCGGTTGGGGTGAATGGATAGAGGAGAGAGAAAAGAAGAAAAGCAACAAGGCACAACAAACAAACACTGGTCAGGTTGATGTGGCTGGTGGCCAATGTCTGAACAAAGAAGAGGAATAGTTGGTCGAGGGAAAGGAAGTGGACTAGGCAGAGAAGTACTTGGACCAGGACAAAGGAGAAGCAGAGGTAGAGAGAGAGAGGTGGAATGTGTGATGGAGTAAGAGCTGTTATCACTGATGAAATAAGAGCCACCATCATAAACCACGGGCTCTATTTTCCTGCAGCAGGACACAGTGCAAAACTCTTGTTTAAACTCAAGGTACAGGGACCATATGGGTGTGTTGGACCCAGTTCTTTTCACCATGTTAACTCTGAGAGACGAGGCAGTCCAAGTAACTTCAAAACAGTGCTGATTTATTCAATGAACACAGGTAAAATTAACATTACACACTCAGGAGTCTTTGCACCTCCAAACTGCACACAGGCAGCTGGTAGATGAAAAGCCCTGAACCATAACAGGCCTATACATTATATCACTTTGGGCAAGCCCCTTACTACTCAGGGACGCCAAACCGTGACGTCTCCGGTGCAGCTGGCCATAGCAGTAGTCAAAGCATGAATAAAATCAATGTGTGATTGTCTGTTGATTATGTGGTGTGTAGCTAAAAACATTCTAACACGACCTCTAGTGACATGTCATGACATTAAACATAAGAAAATATTATGGCTATGGCTACAGTTATACATGTCATAATAATAATATTAACCATCCTGTCTTCTAACAGTCATCAACTTTCTATCTAGTTATCCTTGACCATAAACAACCTGCAGCACTCATGAAAAATGACTAAGCATTTAACAGCCTAAGCTAGACATCCTGTCTACTCTAATCATTCCTAATACATCAAGTATCTGACCAATATCTATCTAACTAAAAATACCAACAATGATTTGCAATTTTGGTGACTACTAGCCCAGCGCACGTTTGTGCATAGCCAGACATTACCTGGCACATTTTGTAGGGGTGGCAGAATACATTATTGGAGACTGGAATACATGGTGAGTAGGAGTCGCGCTGGCTTTAGTTATGTATGTCTAATCACACCAACTCCTCTCATCCCCTTTAAAGAGCAGGATGGAAATCTGACTACCATTCGGGCATGGAAACATATGAGAGGAAAAATTCTTTCATGGCAGAGCAGGTCAGGAGGGAATTAAGGAGGATTAAGGCCACAGGCCCTGACCGCATGGATTTCTCCTATGGCCTGCAGGCTCAACTCTATCACATGTACATGACCGCTCTCAGCGGATTTCTAAACCATATGTTTTGCTCCCAGAGCAGGACCTCCAAGGCCCTTGGTACCGGTACCGAGCTCCCAGATCTCTGACCCCTTGGGTCCGAGTACTCGCTTCACTGG